TATTTGTCATTAAATAGGATGCATTTTGCTAAACATCATAATCTGTTCTATCTTGACAACAACTAGTATTGAGCTTTGTGGAATGATCTATTTACCATGTCTACAAATATGAGAAGTGCTAAAATATCAGAATGCATTCTAATTTATAGCATATGATGCTGTCTGATGGTATGAAGTGTGTCTAATAATACTGAACTTGTTTGTCATGGTCAACTATGATTCCTATGGGTAAAATACTTTGAGGATCATATCAACTTATGGTGAATCCTCTATTGATGTATGGATGCAATCAAGTAGACCGAAAAAGACGACGAAGAACAAGAATGGTGTTATCCAACCCAACATGGTGTGAAAGGTGTGGTGGTTCAGGTCACAATAGGAGAACATGAAAGCAGCGACCTCAACCTTTGAGTCATGTGTAGAATCGTAAACAAGGATCGAATGTCAAGATGACATACATGACACATATCACTGGACAAGTTATTCTCAATCAAACATTCACTTAGTATTAGTGCAAATATAGTACTTCATTGCTTAATTTTTATTTTTATTTTTAGAATTTATCTTTCCTTCAATAATGTTGATGTTCCTCGCGCGCGCGCGCGTGTGTGTATATATATATATATATATATATATATAACGGTTATCACATACCTAATTAAATCCGATATGAATAGTAAAGTAGTTTGATTTTTTTTTTTCACAACTGCACAGCGGTTCTCTGATTTTTGCATTTTTCAACAAATATATTGTACCATTCATTTGTCACTACATCCTTTCCAAACTCAAGATACACGGACAGAACGTTACACATTCATGTTATCTGAAAAATGGAGTACATATCACAAGTTTCATGTGACATTTGTTGTTGTAAGATGTAAAATTAATTTCTGAAATGAGTTATAGTTGTGTAGTCTATTTTACTTATAATTTTATAGAAAAAAATTAATTTCACATGTTATGTAATTTCATTATTATCTAAATTATGGTTGGAAAATACACAAATTTAATGGGTGTAAATGAGTAACCATGAAGACAAACAACTAAAATTATACAAGCGAATTTACCATGGTGTTTTACTCTCAACAATTTGAATATTCATGTTAACTGTTCGAATGGAAAATTACATTACGTGTAGAGGGAAGAGAATAAAATTCCTAATTGCTTGGATTTGAACGAAGCATTCTGAGACACTGATGCTTTGAATAGCATTATGAGATAAGTTATTTTAAGATTATCATTTTTACTTCTTATATTATATTATTTTTGATTTAAAAGTTAGTGAAATGTAAAAATTGAATATTTATCGAAAATATTGTGGGTTGTGTAATTTCATCTACAATTAAAACCTAAATTTTTTATTTTTAGTGTATTTAGGCTTGGACAATGTGGGCTACAGCAGGGCACATCTCCAAGTGGTAAAAGGGGAGGGTGGAGAAATCCAGCTTTGCTTGAGGCTGCTACGTCAAGGGTTCGAATCCTAAAATATGGATTTGGCTCTTGGGTAAGTGCAATTGTACAAGCAGCCTTCCACCCTATACCCTTGGAGGCATAACCTGCGATTTACCTCCCTCACGATACTCCAGGAAAGGGATGGTAGGGGACCCTTAAAGTTAGGGTTTAACCTTTTAAGTACAGCCCACTGCCAAATCCACCCATGCTTCTCAACACCCCTTGGACATGTACAATGTCACATTTTATTTTTGCATTAGAAAACTTTTTAAGAGTTTGTTTGCCTTCTTCTTTTTTTTTTTTTTTTTTTTTTTTTTTTGGACTCACCCCAACTTTCTACCCACTTTTTTCCCATTGTTTTTGTAGTATTTGACACTTGAGATGCATGACAAGTCATATTTAATAAATTTTAGAACATAAAATTAGAGAGATTTTTCATTATTAAGCTATTCGTGTACAACAAAAATCAACGCAATGTTAGAAATTTTAAGAACGTTATATTAAATTTGTTAATATAGTACTAAATATACCTATTGATATCTTGTTTTTATATTGTTGCAATTGGTAATGCAAAGTAAAACAAACGATGTTCAAAATATTTCATTAGTCAAAGTCAAAATTAAAATGACAACTTTATTGATTTTAAGGGAAAAAAAAGTATATATTGTGTATATAAATGTATACTTACATTTTCATGTCCTACTTTTATGAAAGCCTACGTGCTATCGAGCCATACTGGGAGTATCAGGAGGTGAACCAAAGGGAAGAGGCAGCCCTCGAAGCTTTCCTTAACTAAAGCATTCCCTTTCCCCCTTGACTGGAGTGGAGCATTAAATTTCTTTACTATTGGCTAATATTCGTTTATTAAAATAAAATAATAATAATAATAATAATAATAATAATAATAATAATAATAATAATAAGGTAGCAAACGTGCAATGTCAGGCCTCGTTGTTTATGAATGCCCAAGCTATGTTGTACAACCTGCCTGAAAATTGTGGAAAGAGATTGCTAGCGCAGCCCAAACGACATTTTTACATGACTGGCTAGCCCTAGCTCACCAAACATTTTGGGCCTCTTCGAATTCTCTAAAATTGACCCGACCCAACTTGGATCAATTTACGCTTTTAGACTTTATATATTATTGAGAATGTGTGTTAGTCCCTTGTTTGTTGTGATGGTTTAGTTATAGGCGGTGACTAGTCTCGTGTCGATGTCTTGGTGCGCATGTGCAGGACTCGGGCACATTTGGCAAGGTGGTGGGTTGATATTTCTTTAACCCACTAGAATCCATGTATCCTTTATCATTGAGTAGTGAAGTTGGAAAAAAAAATGCTTGTTTGATCTGTTTTGCCTATGTTCTTCTACATTAATGTTCCTGTAAAATAATCCCACCGAATTTGTTTGATTTTGTTTAAGTCTTGAGAAATGTAGACAAATTGAGGAACGAAACCTCGATTCTTGTAGTTTCCTCTCGTAATCAATAAAGTTACATGTTTCTAAGCTGTTCATTTCTTTTTCCTTCTCTTCTATAACCATTTAGTAGTAAATTAGAATACAAGAAAAAACCACATATTTCTCCACTTGTCACGCGTCAATGTTTGCGTCGAATATTTAGGATAAGGATTTGATCTTAAAATTTTGAAGTCTTAAAAGACACACATGTAGTGCTTCTTTCCTTAAAAGCGTCTTTTTAGGCACTGAACATGGCATTAGTTTGGCATATTGTCGTAGATGTGTACAAGCAATAAACTGGAGGGACACAAAAGCATACCCTAGACTCAAGATCATGAGTTAAGCTTGCCTTTTTTGTTACTTGACCAAGGTAATCAACCCATTTGTGGTCGAACGTGAACAGAGACTAACATTTTATTCATAATTGTGGTAATTAGGTCTGGTCGACCATTAAGAAAAGCACAAATGTCTCTATGTAGCCATAACATCATGTATGAACACTAACGCTTGTCCATAATAATCTTAATACGGTATAATTTACTTTACCAAATACCCTGTTTGATGGAAATTATAATCAGAATTTTAGTAAATTTTAATAGAACTTGGTGAACGTGTGGTTGAAAAGTTGTAGGATCCATAAAATATGTAGTTAAAATTAATTGTTGATTTTAATTTAAATTAAAAATTAGGATTTTAATACCTATCGAACAGGGCCAACTATTCTCAAGAATTTATTTTCCATCCCAAAAGGGTACTTTTGTTATTCACGTTGAACAAGTGCTTTTGATTGTCTGTTAAAGGGTCAAGATGGAGACCTACCAACTGTTATCTACGAAGTCACTTCAATAATAATAATAACCAGCAACAATCCATTTTTGTTGTACCATTTTATATGCATATCTTTTCATAGAATATTATATGAATTAATCCCAGTGTACATACAATTAATTCACAGGACTTGCCAAATACCTTACTGTAGTAACGGGCCCTACATAAAAAATAATAATTACAACGAACCTCAACATGTGAGTACCCTGGCAGGGACCTGTATGCCAAGCTTGGTTTATATTATATAGCTGCCAAAAAGATTCTGTTTTCCTGGCAAATATTTTATTTGAATAATGTTATCATAACATGATGAGAATCTTCTATACGGCAATAGTAGACTAGACCAGAGTTAATTGTACTAACTTCTTATAATCGTGTCTTTAACCATGTCATGTGTTAGGACACATTTGACACAACTTTTGCATTTCTTTTTTATAGAAAATTTTATTGAAAAGGTCAATTTGATTTTTGTTTGAAAACTAATTTTTAAAATAATTTTCGACGCCTAAAGTATTTTTAGAGAAAGTCACATTAGACGAACTTTTTAAAAAAATTATCTAACAAAAAGAAACACTTTCATAAATTTAATCAAACTGATTTAAAAGTAGTTCTTGGTTTCAAAAGTTCCTTTTGATATCTTAAGAGTCATGCCAAATAGAACCTATAGTCTATTGTGAATTCTTGTTTTGATTTTATACAATAATCTTGACGGTGGAGACTTGATATTGAAACTAAGTAAAATTGCATTTAGCTTGTGGGCGTTTTGAAATTCTATTCCAAATCTATTGGACAAATTCTAGTTGAAATTCTATTTGAAAACCTATTGGGAGTTGAAATTTGTGTTAGACTTGTATTAATCAAAATAAGGAAACTTTTGGACATTCTATTTCATCTAAAACTCTACTTCTAGGGAGTTTGAATTGTTCCATATATATATAGTTGACTCTTCATTGTATTTTACATTAAGTTAGAAATATTGTAAATACATAATTTTTGTTTTCTTTCTCCATATTATGATAAAATCTCCATCTTTTGCAAATGATTTTTTTCTTGTGTTCTTGTGATTTAAATTGGTTTCAAATATGGTCCGCTCCATAATATCAACATTATTCCTTTGGCCCCAATCAAGAAAGTTATTTTTCAAACTACCCAAGAAATAATTAAGACACACACATGTGACATGTACCAACCCACACTTCTAGCCAATCTATATGAACCCTCTTGAGATAACAAGAATAACACAACGAAAGTACCTAATAAAAAAAATGATTCCTTTCTTCTCTTTCTTTCTTCCAATCCTCTTTCTCTCTTTCCTGATCTCGACCCATCCCGTTAAAGGCCAGAGCTTGATCAATGAAACATGCAAAACGATCGCACGTCGTGATCCGAACATCGGGTACAACTTTTGCACAACTTCCCTGCAAGCATCACCAACCAGCCAGTGTGCAAGTTTACAAGGGCTCGGTATGATCTCGATCAAACTTCTACGTCACAACATTACAGATACTCGTGGTTACATCAAACACCTGATGAAAAACAGGAAATTGGACCCTTATTCGAAACTATATTTGAAGGATTGTTATGAACTTTTTTCTGATGCAATCTCTTCTGTGAAGCGGGCCATGAAATATTACAACTCGAAACGATATGACGATGCTAATATACAAATAAGTGGTGTAATGGATGCTGCTACAACTTGTGAAGATGGATTTAGCGAGCGAGAAGGGTTAGTTTCTCCATTGACAAAGAGAAATCGTAATACGTTTCAACTCTCTGCCATCGTACTCTCTATTATGCACGAGATTAATAAAGGATCAAATGTCTGATTTTTCATCAGCATGCTTATGATTGATTACATTTTCATGATCATTTAATTTTCTCGTTTACATGGGATTTCCTTGTTTTTATCTTAAATATTATGATTGACAGATATGATTATTTATTATTATTATTATTTTTAACCTTTGTTGGAAAGCAATTTCAATGGAAGAGCGACTTTTACTTAATATTTTGTCTTAAACTTCGTTGTTAAACTAAATGATGACCTCTATAGTTACACCAGGTGTAGTTTACCCAAACCCAATACATTTTCACATCAATGCCAAGTCTCTTGTAAACTAATTGGATGTGACTTAAAAATATATACTAAATTACATTATCTTAAAGTCGATAGTTCCCAGAGCCCTTGAACTGGCTGCGTGCCTGCACTTTTCCTCAGGACAGGCCGGGCCACGACTTTTCTCAGTTCTCGTTTTCTTATTGATTTTTCAAATACATAATATATAACTGTCATTACTGTAATTTACTTGCTTCCAAGTGCCTTGAAGAAGATTTTATCAAGGATTTATTGAAAATGAAATGATCATCAATACATGAAAATTATATAATTGTGATAATGAATTGCAAATATTTTGGCAAATAAAAACACAACTTTCTGGAGTACTTGAATTGAACTTCTCGAATTTCCATCAGATGGCATGTCCCTTTTAATATGTGGAACGATTTATTTATAACTTTTTTTGCAATTAATTTATGTAAATTTACAGTTGGAACGAAGTGACCTTTAAAAATATCAGTAGATTAGATTATTGGCATATACTCCAATAAAAGGTGACCAAATATGAAACGGCTCGGGTTAACGTCAATCACACTCTCGCTTAAATATCTTTGAAATGATGCGATTTATAATCCGGCAACGTGATGTTGCCACATAACCAATATTTTCGGTGATGTGGCAACATCGCATGGCAACATATAAATTTTATAAGTTGAGGCGCATGACAAGTCATGTTTTATAAATTTTAGAACATAAAATTGGAGAGATTTTTCATTAATAAACTATTTGTGTGCAAATGTAATGTGAGAAATTTTTAAGAACGTTATATTAAATTTGTTAATATAATACTAAATATACTGATTGATATCTTGTGTTTATATCGTTGCCATTGGTAATGCAGAGTAAAACAAACAATCAGTTATGATGTTCAAAAGATTTCATTAGCCAAAGTCCAAATTAAAACAACAACCGTATTGATTTTAAGGAAAAAATAAAAAAAAAAGTTTATATTGTGTATATAAAATGTATACTATCATTTTCATGTCCTACTTTTATGAAAGCCTATGTGCTATTTGCTAATATCTGTATAGAAAGCGTTGGGCAAATCTTACAAATAGTACAGCAAAATAAAATAATAAAATTATAGAATAATAATAATTATTATTATAAAAAGAAATAACTAGATAGAAAACGTGTAATGTCAAGCCTCGTTGTAGGGATGGCAATTCGAACTGTCAAAATCGAAAATCTCGGTTAACCGAATCGAATAGGGCGAAAAATTGGAACCAATGATGTAATGAGATGGATATGGTACTTGATTTTAATGCCCCGATTTGAGGTGGGGCATGTATGGTATTTACACTGTCGCCCCATCCCGAATCGATTACCCTTTAAGAAAGATTGAACAATTGGGCTATTCATTATATTTTTTTTATGATTCTGTCCAGCCCACGTTGTAGGGATGACAATTCAAACTGTCAAAATCGAAAACCTCGGTTTATCGAACCGAATGGAGAGAAAAAAATCGAACTGATGACGCAATGGGGGTGAATATGATATTTGATTTTAATGCCTCGGTTTGGGGCGAGACGGTTATGGTTTTTATGCTGTCGTCCCGTCTCCAACCGATTACCATTTAGAAAAATTGGGCAATTAGACTTTTCATTATCCTTTCTATTATTCTGTCTAACCCAAGATTCTGGCCCATTACATTCACGCCAAGTCCAATTAACTTAACCCAGTAACCCTACACCCTACTACACAAATATTAAACATTTAAGAAAATTGTTTGTTAAATTTGAATTTTGTATTTCGGGAGTTGAGATATTGTTAGCATTTTCATTTGGGATATTGTATGTTAAATTTCCTTAGTATTTTGTTTTTATTTTCGTTGACTTTTTTTTCATAAATTATTACTATTTTTTTTCAATTGACGGTTGGACTATAAAAAATAGTTAATTTTCGTGGTTATTAACCGCTTGAACCGAGATACGAACAGAACCAACTTACGTGATTATGGTATGGCCAAAACATTGTGGTTCGGTGATAGTTTTGACCGAACCGACTCCAAATCGAACCGTTGTCAACCCTACCTCATTGTTGCCCAAGCTATGCTGTGGAAAGAGAGTGCCAGGGCGGCCCAAACTACGTTTTTACATGACTGGCTAGCTCTAGCCCACCAAACATTTTGGGCCTCTCCAAATTCTCTAAAATTGACCCGACCCAACTTGGATCAATTTACACTTTTAGACTTCTATAGTTTATAAATAATTGAGAATGTGTGTTAGTCCCTTGTTTGTTGTGATGGTTTCGTTATAGGCAGTGATTAGTCCGTGTCGATGTCTTGGTGCGCACGTGCAGGAAAGGTAGCGGGTTGATATTTTTTCAAATTGTGCCCGTGCAAAATGCACGAATCTAACAGGGACCATTACATTAGTGAGTTGCTCAATTGCTCATGGGAGATTTCTCGTATACATGCATGGAATTGTCAATGGGCGTGAGACAACATCATAGGGTTTGTATTGGCCCTTCACTAAAATCCACGTATCCTTTATCGTTGAGTAGTAAAGTTGGAAGGAAAAAACGCTTATTTGATTTGTTTTGCCTATGTTCTTATACATTAATGTTATAATCTCGTCGATTTTTTTTTTTAATTTTCTGCAAGTCTTGAGAAATGTAGACAAATTGAGGATTGAAATCTCAATTCTTGTAGTTTCCTCTCGTAATCAACAAAGTTACATATTTCTAAGTTCATTTCTTTTTCATTATTCACCGTTCCTTTCTCCTTCTCTTTTATAACCGTTTGGTAGTAAATTAGAATACCCAAAAAAAAAAAAAAAAAAAACCACATATTTCTCCACTTGTCACGCGTCAATGTTTGTGTTGAATATTTAGGATGAGGATCTGATCTTCAAATTTAATAGTGTTAAAAGACCCATGTGTAGTGCTTCTTTCCTTAAAATCATACTTTATAGGCACTGAACATGGCATTACTTTGGCATATTGTCGTAGATGTGTACAAGCAAAACTGGAGGGACCCAAATGTTGGTCTTAGACTCGAGACTCAAGATCATGGGTTAAGCTTACTTTTTGTTGTTACTTGACCAAGATAATCAACCAATTTAAACTATGATCGGCACACAGTATTAGATATAAAAATGAGGTCGAATGTGAACAAAGACTAACATTTTATCGATAATTGTGGTAATTAGGTCCGGTCGACCATTAAGAAAAGCCTAAATGTCTCTATGTAGTCATAACATCATGTATGAAGACTAAGGTTTGTCCATAGTAATCTTAATATGGTATAATTTACTTAACTAAATACACTATTTGGTTGGAAATAAATTTAGATTTTAGTAAATTTTAATAGAAGATGGCGAATATATAGTTGAAAAGCTGTGAGACCCATGAAATATATAGTTAAAATTAATTATCAACTTTAATTTAATTTAGATTAAAATTTTAATTTTAATTCCAACCGAACTGGGCTAACTATTCTCCAGAATTTATTTTCCATCCCAAGCAGGTACTTTTGTCATTCACATTGAACAAGTGCTTTTAATTGTCTTTTAAAAGAGTCAAGATAGAGACCTCACCGACTGTTATCTGCAAAGTCATTTCAAAAATAATAATAACCAGCAACAATCCATTTTTTTGTACCATTTTACATGCATATCTTTTCATAGAATATTGAATAGCTGCCAAAAAGATTTTGTTTAGCTGACAAATATTTATTTGAAGAATTAAATTACTTTGCTCGAATTTTTTTCACATAATAGTTGACATTCTCTCACATGCATGTGAGTCCTGCGTGAATAAAAAAGTCCAAAAAAGAAGTGGACCCCCTCCCATTGTCAGTGTCGATCAACCGTTAAGTCAAAAAATTCGAGTAGCATAGCATGATTGTTATTTGAATAATGTTATCATAACATAGTGAGAATCTTCTATACGACAACAGTCGACTAGACCAGAGTTAATTATACCGTCCTTTTTTAATCGTGTATTTAACCATGTCATGTGCTAGCATACGTTTGACGCAACTTTTGCTTTTGCTATTTTTTTTTTTTTTGAGAAAGAAAATTAATTTCTAAAACAACTTTTGATACTGAAAGTATTTTTAGAGAAAGTCGCATTAGACAATTTTTTTTTTTTTAAAAAAATCTTCTAACTAGAAGAAGCACTTTGATAAAATTAGTCAAACGGATCCAAAAGTAGCTTTTAAGTCTCAAAAATTCCCTTTGATTCTTAAGAGTCAGGCCAAATGGACCCATAGTCTATTTTGGATTCTAGTTTTGATTTTATACAATAATCCTAAAAGTCGAGATTTGATATTGAAACTAAGTAAAATTACATTTAGCTTGTGGGCGTAGGATTCTTGATCTAGCCATATTTTTTACATAATATCAAACAACAATGTATAGAACAACAAATTTCTTAATTATGTTCAATATTATCAATTCAACAGTTAGAATAGGCCCAAATTCTTTGTTGAAAATAATTGTGAATTTTAATTAAAGTGCACATTAAGAAAATTTTTATTTGGAATGCTTTTGATATCATATTCAAAGTCTATTATGCAAATTCTAATTGAAATTCTATTTGGGAGTTGAAATTTGTGTTGGACTGAAAGAAATCAAGATAAGAAAACTTTTTGACACTCTATTTCATCTACAACTCTACTTCTAGGGTTTGAATTGTTTTCTATACATAGTTGGCTCTTTCATTGTATTTTAGAATGAGATAAAAATATTGTAATCACATAATCTTTGTTCTCTTTCTCCATATTATAATAAAATATCCATCTCCTGCAAATTATTTTCTTCTTGTAATTTTGTATTCTTGTGATTTTTACTTCATATAATTATCTTAATCTCTTATTTTTCCAT